ATGGCTGAGTAGTATTCCATTGCATAAATATACCACATCTTCTTTATCCAGTCACCTGTTGATGGACATTTAGGCTGTTTCCATGTTTTGGCTATTGTAAATAGTGCTGCTATGAACATTGGGGTGCAGGTGTCATCCTGAAGTAGATTTCCTTCTGGGTACAAGCCCAGGAGTGGGATTCCTGGGTCATATGGTAAGTCTATTCCTAGTCTTTTGAGGAATCTCCACACTGTTTTCCATAGTGGCTGCTAATTGAAGTATAGTTGATTTACAATATTGTATTAGTTTCTAGCATGCAGCAAAGTGATTCAGAAATATATATACTTATATATTCTTTTTTATTGAAATACAATTGATTGACAATGTTGTGTTAGCTTCTGGTGTGCAGCATAGTGATTCATACATATATATACATATTGTTTTTCATATTCTTTTTCACTAGAGGTTATTACAAGGTATTGAATACAGTTCCCTGTATTCTTTCTTTTCCATTATAGTTTACTATAAGATATTGACTATAGTTCTCTGTGCTATCTAGTAGGACCTTGTTGTTTATTTTATATATAACAGTTTGTATCTGCTAATCCCAAGCTCCTAATTTATCCCTCCCCTCTACAGCTTAAATATTTTATGCTCCTTTTCTCCAGGAACAAATACAGAAATGTCTCGAGTGTCTAAGAAGAGAGAGAGAGGAGATTCAAGGAATCCAATCAAGAGAAAATCAAAGGACACAAGTCCTCCTGGTAGGTCATCATCCCTCCCCGGGTCGTCTTCCCTTCCTCAGGGTCCAGCGTCTCTCTGACACTGAGGCAACGTAGTATTCAGGACTTTGAAGTCATTCTGAGTTTGAATCCTGACTCTGACATTAACTAGCTCTATGACCTCAAACAACTCTCTATCCTCAGTTTATCTTTTTGTCAAGTGGAAATTGAAAATCATCACTATGACACCAAATTGCTCTAAGGACTGTAATGCCAGCTTAGTGCTGTGCACATAATGTGCACTTCGTAAAAGGCAGGAGGTAGGGTCTCCTCACCACCTCCCTGACACCTCATGTGAGCCTCCCCCTTTTAGAAGCTCCTGCAGGAGCCCAGGTGATGCTGGGCAGTGGGGCACCCAGAAGGGGCATGGTGAGTGGAAAGAAAACCATACGCTTGTTCCAAGTCTCTCTGGGCACCCAGGGAAGGGGGCTCTGACATTACCACCAAACTCCAGAGGATGTGGATTCGGGCCAGGAGGGAGATGGGAGGGAATTAAGGGAAAAGAAGGAAAAGGAAGCAGAGGAAGAGAAGGGATAACTTCCTTCTGGCCTCTCCTCCTGTCCCTCAGACTCAGGTGGCCACCAAGAAACAAAAGGTGATATCTGAGTTTGCACATCTGAGCCAGTTCCTGGAAGAACAGCGGAACATCCTCTTAGCCCAGTTGGAGAGTCTGGATAGAGACATCTTGAAGCAACAGGATGAGTTTGATGTCCTGGTCACTAGGGAAATCTGCCGGTTTAGCACCCTGATCGCAGAACTGGAGGAGAAGAACGAGAGGCCGGCAAGGGAGCTCCTGACGGTGAGACCTGAGCCCCGCCCCCGCTTACCCGTGCTCACCTGTGATTGTATCTTTACCCATTAAGCCATCTCTCCTTCATTCACACATCTCTGTATCCCAAGGGGAAGATGGGTCACAGGATCGGAAGTTCCAAATTCTAAGAGCCTTTGCTTCCCCAAGAATCTCCTGGTCACTTTGCTCCCTGGTTTTGGTCTCTTCATCCTAACATCCATGGAATAGGGAAGACAGTTTGTTTATTTAGCTCACAAGTATTTTGTTTATTTGTGAGGACCCAACAATAAAATGCAAGTGAAAGTAGCACTTTGAAATGCATCAAGCACTATGTGAACAAATGTCAAGTGCTGTTTCCAAGGCAAACTGTTCTCTGTGTCGCTACCCACCAGTCAGAAAGTTCTTTCTGGTCTATTTCACTTCCTTGCACTGGTGGAGAGATACAGGGGTGGTCCCCAACAAGGCATCAGAAATGCAGCATGATTTAGGGGGACACACTCGGGACTGAGAAGCAGATGACCTTGGGGTGGGGCTTGCTTTTGCCTCTGACTGTCAGGGGCAGTTCACTTCACCATCCAGATCTTATAAAATAAAGGGGTTGGGGTCTAAGATCCCTGAAGCCTCGTAAACCCTAAAACGCTATGACTCCATGGATCTGGTGTCCTTTTTCAGGGCTGAGAATGCAGTGTGTTGTCTTTTCCAGTTATAAGAAGGTGGGAGGGAGAAGGTGGAAACTGAATCCCTGCTTTCTCTCTCTCTTTCTCCTAGCATATCAGAAGCACTCTAATAAAGTAAGTTTTTCTCTTCTCTTTTCCTATATACACGTACAGACATGCACCATATGTACAACTTATTGCCGTACAAATGTAGTCTTATGTTAAGGATTAAAAATTCACATGTGAACTTTCACATACTCAAATGGATTCCTGCGGGGAGGGTATAGCTCAGTGACAGAGTGTGTGCTTAGCGTGCATGAGGTCCTGCTTTCAATCCTCAGTACCTCCATTTAAAAAAATAAAAAATAAACAAACCTAATCCTCCCCCCACAAAATACTCGAATGCATTCCCATGTTTAGCTGTAGATATACACCCCTGTGTGGCACTGCCCAAGAGTGGGCAGTGGGGGAGGGGGTCCATCCTAAAGGAAGTATGTCTCCCCTTGGGAATCGGCACCTCCAAGCCTAATTAGGAGAAGGCAACCAGCTGAGTCTGGAGGCATCGCTAAGGAGGGCAATTCCCAGACCCTGCCATTTCTGTGCTCCTTAGATGTGAAACCAGAAGGTGCCGGAAAACAGAGGCTATATCCCCTGAGCTGGGCCAGAGGATTCGGGACGTCTCCCAGCAGGCTCTGCCTCTGCAGAGGGAAATGAAGATATTTCTGGGTAAGAGGACCCCACGGAGCACAGCCTGAAGCCTGAGTCTTCCATGCTCTTTGGCCTGATAAGCATGACCTTTGACAAAGCTTGCACCCCTCAGTGCCTGGGTTTCCTTATTGGCAGATCTTTATAAAATCTGCTTATCAGGTTGCTGTGACAACAAAGAGAGATAATAAAGGTGAAGATTTCCAGAAAACATTCAACTGATTTGAAAAATAATTATATCTAATCACTTGGCATGAAGCGATATACAAGATAATGATGAACAAAATCTGTCATTGTCAATAATTTTAAAAATCCACAGGGGCATTCGTCATATATGATAAGTTTTAGATGATGAACTTTGTTAACTAATAACCAGCAAGAGTGTTTCTCTTTGCCCTGTGGTAGCTGACTTCCTCCCTCCTCTTCTCCACCACACCCCCGCCCCCCACCGTCATCAGTCTGGTTCTCAGAGTTGAACCGCCCTGGTGGAGACCGTGTTCCCCTTTTCCGGGAACAGGGAGTGGTGGTAGGAGAGGGTGTGGATGGCTTGAAATGAGAGTCGGGAATGGTGGCTTGCTGCCAACACCTCCTCTTCCTCCCACGTGACAACATGAATGATGCCACCTATTGCTAAATGACCCACCCACCCAAATGTCACCTTAGAAGAGCTTTCCCCACAAGTCCACTTCCTGCCAAGTACTCCCAGTGGCCTGGCAGTGAAGGAAACTACCCTAATCAAAGGCTGACCTTTGACTCTCCTCCAAATTATTTCCAAGCAGAACGAGACAGAAATTAACCCACTTAGCTGTTCATTAAATAGATGTTTCTCAAGCATTTACTATGTCCTGGGCTCTGTGCAAGTCACTGAAGGCAAACATGGTCCCTGCTTATTCAGAGCTGGGGAAACGGGGCTCATAGTGGGTTCCTGGGCAGCAGCCTCCGAGTCCCCTGAGAACTTGCCAGAAATGTAAATCTCGGCCTCACCCTTGGCCACCTGAATCAAAAACACATGTGTTTGAGCAAGTGCTCCAGGGACTCTGATGCAAGTTCAAGTTCAGAACCACTGGTCTGGAGGGTTCCAGCTTCCATCCTTCTTTGTCCCTTCTCTTCTCAGGGCCTCAGTTTCCTCTTCATAAAGTGTTCTATGATGGTTTTGTGAGACTAATGAAACCTCATCCTTTTTCATTTCCTCCTTACAGAAAAATTCTGCTTTGAGTTGGACTATGAGCCAGGTAAGCAGCCTACATCAGGATGGGAGGGAGTGAGGAATCTACAGTTGAAAAGGACAGTTACTTTTACAGGGTTTTACACTGGACACTGTAATAGCAAATACATGCATATCATATGTATAAATGTACAGACACACATATGTCACACATGGCAGTGACACATGTGACTGCCTTTGTAAGGCTTGTGGGAAAACCACGAAAAAGGGACAAGCACACACATACACCTGGCATGAAGCACATGTTCTGATCTGCACATGATGACAGAATAGAACGATTAAATTGGAATGGGACAAGTTCCATTGGGAAAGTCTTCCTGGATGAGGGGAAGTTTGATCTGGGTTAAGAATCACTTTCTTAGGTGTGTCAGGACCCCCTCCTCCCACTCAAGTGTTAATTTCATAGATGACAGTTAGGAGGAGGACAGCCTGTGGGTGGGAAAGGAATGAATAGATTGGACCCCATTCAAGGCTATTGTTCCCAGTCTATCAGCCAAAGACCCTGATAAGTCATAGAGTTCTTGCAAGAGACTCTCTAACTCATAGACATATCTGAATTTATGAATTGGTCTCAATTTATGAATACTCAAAGTAACAATATGCTGGGGTCTGCACAAGTTTTTGATGTTATAAAGTGGTCCTCAGACTCTGCCAGCTTTTATATTACTGAGGCAGAAGGAATAACCCCTGGGTGAGCCAGAGAGCCTGCTGGGGGAGCACAGGCTGTGTAAATGAGTCATAAGTGCCCAGGGAGTGATCATAAAGTTTGGACTCAAGGGAGAATGTCTCCGCCTTCTGAGATATGTGACATGATGTGTCAGCAGTAGGAGGAGGTCAGAGGAGGCACGCACAGCTTTGGGAGTCATCCAGTTTGCACCGAGCAGAAGTGCTTTCCAAGGGATTGCACAGAACCGGATGAGTGCATGGATGTCCTAACTAATGAACTAACAACTAGAACTAACAACTAACGTAGGTAGGCATCCTCCGAGGCAGGCATTAGCATGATAGGAATCACGTGCAGATCTTGTTAAACCGCAGATTCTATTTCAGGTGGTCTGGGGTGGAGTTTGAGGGTCTAGCACATTCCCAGATGACATCTGTGCTGCTGGTCCTTGCAGATGCTATATATGTTGTTGGTAATCACACCAACAGGGGGGGTGCCAAGGGGAGTTTTTAGGTTTTTCTTGAAGATGGTAGCATGTCTTCTGACATCTGTGTCACTTTTGGTCTTCCCCACAGCTCACATCTCCCTAGACCCCCAGACTTCCCACCCCAAGCTTCTCCTGTCTGAGGACCACCAGCAGGCTCGGTTCTCCTACAAATGGCAGAACTCTCCAGGAAACCCCCAGCGCTTTGACCAGGCCACCTGTGTCCTGGCCCATGATGGCTTCACAGGGGGGAGACACACGTGGGTGGTGAGTGTAGACTTGGCTCACGGGGGCAGCTGCACGCTGGGTGTGGTTAGTAAGGACATCCGGCGGAAGGGGGAGCTTCGGCTGCGGCCGGAGGAGGGGGTGTGGGCCGTGAGGCTGACGTGGGGCTTCATCTCGGCCCTGAGCTCCTTCCCCACACGCCTGGCTCTGGAGGAACAGCCCCGGCAGGTGAGGGTGTCTATTGACTATGAGGTGGGCTGGGTAATCTTTGTCAATGCTGTCACCCGAGAGCCCATCTACACCTTCACTGCCTCCTTCACCCAGAAGGTCTATCCCTTCTTTGGGCTCTGGGGTCGAGGGTCCAGTTTCTCCCTGAGCTCCTGAGAGAGTCAGCTACCCTCCCCAAAACACGAGACTCCAGAGAAAGGGCCTAACGACTTGACCCTGACTGGGTCACCTGAAAGATTTGGAACAGTAATTACACTTTAGGTGATGTGATAGAGTCAGGACTTTGGCAAGGGACAAGGTGGGATGACCTTCAATCTGCTGATCAAACCCTTTCCACAATGCCCAGTGGATGGAACTCAGACCACTGCCCGGCCGGCCTCCCCACCACCATCCCCACCTGGCACAGAAGCAGCTGTGTAGAGGAAGGAATACTAGATTTGGAGCTGGAAGACTTGGGGTCTAGACCCAGCCTTGTAATCAACTAATCGTATGATCTTAAACTAGGCCTCTCACCTCTCTTCATCTTGTTTTCTCCCCTAAATATTAGGGTTCTTTTACTCAAATCCTTAAGAAACATTTACTGTGTGCTAATTATGAACCAAGCAGTATGGTAGCCATTTGTGAAATGAAAAAAACAAAACAAAACAAAACAAAAAACTTGTTCTGAATGAGAAGGAGCTCATGAGAAAAGGCAGAGACATAGGAGGCAAGGACAGCACAGTGTGATGGGCGCTGCGACAGGGGTGTTAGGGAAGCCCAGAGGAGGCAGGAGGTCAGTCAGGAAAAGATGAGTTTAAAAAATGAGTGTGGTAAATGATGCAAGGAGTGGAAGAAGCATCTTAGGAAGAAGGGACCGCAGAGAACTGGCTGGATGATCTGTATGAGACACAGGGTCACATTCATTGTCCTCATGAGCAGATGCGCTGCCACCCCCACCCCGGACACCACTCAATGCCTCACTCATCCTAGTGGTGTCACTTCTGGCTGAGATGAAAGTGCAGGGCCTTGGTGGGGAGGGGACAGGGGAGGCATGGCCATAAGCCACAGCCCAAGGACCTCACTTGACCCCCAGGGAAAATCTTCTTCCTGATCTGTTGCTCACCACCTGAGGCTGACAAATGAGGTGAAAGGAGTGAGATGGTGGGAAGGAATGAGTCCCAGATAGCCCGGTTCGGGGCACAGAAATAGCACCATTGTAAGCTTCGGGCTGGGCGATAGACTGCCGGGTGGAGGCAGGGGGTGAACTGGGTGAGCTGTGACTTTCAGCCCAAAGCATTGGGGCTGCTCTAGGCCTGGACAAGAAGTGCCATCTGAGGGTTGAGGCAAGAGAAGGGGGACAATTAAGGATTTGTAGAAGGTGTGTGGATTTGGGGCAGAGAGCTGGAGGAGAGCAGGTGGTACTGGCCAGAAGCTGTACCCATGGGTGGCATGTAGAAACTGAGCACCCCTGCCTGGTGCTCGAAATCCCCCTGCCTGGTGCTGATGCTGGGACAGGAACAAGCACTGACACATGGCTGCCTGGAATTTGTAAAATTTGTAAAATGATTTCCATTGTCCCAAGGAATTGTAAACCCTACGCAAAATAAAAGCACTGTCTTACCTTATTTTCTAGTTTTTGTTGGTGGTATCATTTATTCTGCTTAAACATACCCTTCACTGACCAGCTCTTGAACACTCTCTCTGTTGTCTCTGCTCAGACAAAAACTAAAAGGTTCTATCATCTGCCCCCAGGGCCCCTGGGGGAGCGAACCATCCAGGTGCAACCTCAGAGAGGGTGGGCACAGTGGATTGAGGCCCAGGCTTAAAAATCATCCCCAAAATCCTGCGCTTTATCCTCAGTTTAGCAGGTAGAAAAGACTGGGAGATCAAGAGACAGGAATTGGAGGCAAGTTCGGTTCCTTTAGCTGGGTGTGTTCAGTATTTCATATGAAAGGTTTGTATATTTTTTAAAAAAAATAAGCACACTCAAGTCCCTAAATAATGGTATAACATACCGAAAGCCCCCAAACCTGGGATTCCAACAAAAAGTGGATTGTATTTTTCTGTTTTTTTTTTTTTTTTTTTTTTGATTTTAGCTGGGTCTTTTAAAATGACTATTATCCTCCAGGGTAAGTGTGTACGAAGACCTTGTCCTGTTGGAGGGCTGGGTGTGTATTATGTCACCTACCCTTGGTAACCCTGCCAGGCAGCTCCTATTAGTATCCCCAGTTTAAAGTTTAAAAAGCTGAGGTCAGGGGAATTTTGGTTACTTACTCAGCCAAGATCATGCAGCCAGGATTTTAATCCACATCTGACTCAAACGCTCTCAACCACTGGGTTGCCTTGGTCAGAAACGAGTGCCCTGGTGGGTGTGAATATTTTACTGCTGGCCGCATTCCCCACGAGGGAATTGGATTCAGCAAGACAATTTATATTTCTTACACTGAGAAATAAAACTGCTAGTGAATGAAAATACTCATGTTGGTCTATGAGCACTTGCTTCTCTCCCAGGGTAATTTTACTTGGAAGTTGACTTGTTTTGGAGTGTGGTCTCACTGCGGAGAAAGTGCGTAGGTCCTAAAACACAATAACTTCAAGATAAGGCAGCTCCCTGAGCCTGCATGCTCTACTTGTCACAGACTCTGGACTCGGGCTTCCCTCCCCCAGAGAAGTGCTTAAGTCCGGAGCCCCAACCTCCCGATCACCCTCTCCAAGACTCCAAAGGATTGGGGCACCTTTCTTGAGACATTCACAAGTTTACCTGGTTTATTCACATCTTACACTGCGGCAGCTCCTTCTATTATAAGGAATGGAGGCTAGCTCAAGTTAGTTCAGATAATAGGAACATTTATTACAAGGACAGACATGTAAATGAGGAAAATGGGATTTTTGCACCATTATCAGGTCTCGCGGAAAGCTATGGTGAGGGTGGTGGGAGTGATGGGGAAA